TTGCACTACAGCCCACTACGCTACGCTAACTTTTAGCGGCGCTAACAACACACCTTTTTTTGGGTAGTGTTAGTGCACCGCTACAGCCACTACGCTGCGTTACGCTACGCTACAGCGCTGTTAGTGGCAAAAAAGGCCAAAAAACCGCTAAAAAGCGCTGTAGCTTAGTGTAGCGGACGCTTTTTTGCGCCCCATGGGCAGAGTGTTAGTGTGGATGAGTGAAATAAAGCTAACACTACGCTAACAGCTAACACCCACTGGCTCCCTGCGTGCGTAGTGTTAGTGCAAATTTTCAGATTTGCGCTAACACTACGCTACATGTTAGCTTATTTCAGCTACACTACGCTACACTAACGCTACGGTTAGTGTAGCTGGCCCACCGTTGCTGGTATTGATTGAGAAAATGAAAGAATGATCAAAAATAGTATTGAACCATTAAAAAAGAGGAAAGGGAAAAAATCCTCAAGGAAATACTCACCTGAAGGCTGAAACTAGAGACAAATCTAAATAAAAGGTAGAAACAAACACATGATTGGTCAGTGATTAAAGTTAAACCATTGAAATTTGAATAAACAAGATGAAAGAAAAAAAACACTCAACTGACTTGACACTAGAGACAAATCTAAAGAAACAGAAAAAAATAATGACACAGCACCAAAAGCAGTCAGTGATCAAGTTAAACCATAAGGAAATTGTTGAATTTTAGGCGGAAAGGCCTGAAAAATACTTTTTCTATTCTTGCTGCAAGGGCTTAAGTGCTCGAAGACAATACTGAAGAAGGGCTCAAGTGCTCCTTCAGGATCAGTTTTAAAAGTGTAAAGAACCGATGATTTTATTCCTATAAACAATTCTAGAGGTCTCAAGTATTCTAGATACAAAATGATCAAGTTGTGGGAGCAAAAAATTGAATCATAATGAATAGGAATAAGAAAAAATTCAATACCAATAAGTAAGAAACAAATGACATTCTTGTGAAATGAGAGAGGAGAGAGAGAGAACGAGTGAAATTTCAACACCCCTCCTGAACTCGAGATCGATCAACTTGATGCATTAGAGATGGTGATCGGGGTATTTTTGTTTCAAGTAGTCTTCGTCTTCTGCGGTGTATCGTTTGAGGTGAGACAAATGTTGTTTTGAAGACGAGTTGACCGTTTTGGGCTGTCGTTTATCGGGGTGCTTATGAAAACAATTCGCTTCAGAATGGCCACTCTTGAAACAGTGTGAACAGGCTTGGAATCCTTGTTTACAGTGAGGACAAGCAATCTTGGGGTCCGAAGATTGAGTATACATTGTAGCTTGAGTCGGGATCGACAATTCTTTGATTTCGTTCAGTTGGTTTTGAGCAGCAAAGTCTTCCAATTTCTTGAGGACTTCTTCAAAGACTTCAGTCTCAAAGTTCATAGAAATGTTTGTTTTGAACGAGTGGAATTCTTGAGGGAGCTTGTCGAGCATTAAGTTGTTTGACTTGATCATTGAGAGCGAGTTTGGTAAGTACAATTTTCTGATTTGCTGATCGTACGAGAGGGAGAATGAC